AGTGGGCACCAGGACTCGAGGACCCAAGGGAGCCAAAGACAAAGGCCATGCAGTATGCTGGAATGCAGCTGCACATGGCATCTGGGATCTGTCTGCACCGAGCTGGACTGAGGTCTTAGTCTGTGCTTTCCGTGATCCTCTCCGAGTGCCCGTTTCTGGCCACACACGTGGACTGCAAGACTTCTGCTGGAGCCTCCAGTCAATGGGCCCAGATCTCACAGCAGCCAGTGTGGGACAGAACCAACCCAGACAGACCCTGAGACAGCCACAGTGAGGTAAGCCATCAGGTCAAGGTGCTCCCCATGTCCCCAGAAATTCTTATGGCCTGGGGTATAGCGGTAGCAGCTGCACCCCCATTTAATTCCTACCACAGCGGCCCCTGTTTTTCTGCCTGGATCATCAGTATATTGTTGGTTATGTTCTGTTGTGTGAAAAGAACAAAACCGTCAGCGGAAAGAATCTTGGGGAGGAAAGGGTTTATCTGGCTTATACTTCTACATCTCTGTACATCATTGAGGGAACTCAGGGCAGCAACTGAAGCAGAGACCCCGGGGAAGCACTGCTTGCTCTCTTAAAGAACCCAGGACCACATGGCCAGGAACGCCACTGCCCACAGTGAGCTGGACCCTTACATATCAACCACCAATCAAGACAATGCCGTACAGACTTACCCATAGAACATTCTGACGGAGGCAATTCTTCAGTTGAGTTCCCTCTTCCCAGGTGGCCCAGGTTTGTGCCAGCATAATCAGCCTCTGCAGCGATTGGGTGGATCCCAGTGCCCCCAGGGATCTGCTCAGTGCCCCTTACTTTCTTCCTTCTTAGCCATGCCTCTGTACCCCAAGGTGAATTGCTGGGGCCTATCCAACACCCTACCATAGTTTAGAAACTATGTTTATAATGACCTAGCCTTTGGGATCACTAACTATATTCATAATGGTTATGAATGTCATTTATTGGCAGGGGACAAGAAGTGGTCCTTTTGGGAGGTATTTTGGAGTCAGGATGTGGTAGTCCAGAGATGGAAGGAGTAAAGGGAAACAGGCGGGATGGAGGAGAAAAAAGAGTAAAATAATCTTGGGATAGATACTAAATTCGGGGGGGGGCAGGGGAACAGTGACTGAAGAGGCTAAGGGACTCTCAGAAACCCATTCCTCCAGGGTCAGGTGGAAATAAGGCTTTCCAGAGTATCACAGGATCACAGAGACAGGAGCAGGATGTCCCAGGAGGAGAGCATGGGCCATGTGGGTCTCAGATGATGGAGCACCGAGGAGGAGGCCTGAGGAAGATGTGAGAAAAACACAAAGAGAAACAAACAGAGCCTAAGAAAACCAGAGGGAAGGGCATGTCGGGAAAGTCTGTCAAGAAGTTGCAAGGCAGTCACGCCAGCAGGGCAGTGGGCCCCAGCCAGGTGGGGCTCTGGTCAAGGAGGGAGCAGTGCCAGCGAGTAAGGCGTCACCATCTCTATCAGGAGTGGCTTATAATTTTTGTATATTACAGACTGGCTTACTTCAGTGTGGCCTCACTCCTCATAAACAGCCATAAACCTGGGCAAATCCAGGAAGCAATTGTTTTCAGGCAGGGGACACCAGCACTGAAAAGATGTGACCCTGACAGGCTCACCCCCACTGCCGCTCCATTCTCAAGGACAGTTTGAGTTGTCATCGTGAGAATCACGGTGAAATCTCACATCGCTGAGCCTCTGCTCGACTGTGCTGTAAACCACCCTTTGTTTAGTGTAGGCATGCTGCAGACATTCCCCACAACTCCGCTCCCCGTTTCTTACATGCTTTGGAGCACACAGGAAAACATGCAGTCTATGTATATGTATGGTCTTGGGCATCTGCTGGGGTCTTGCAGTATTTCCCCTGGGGATGGGGTGGGGTCTTCTGGAGACCACGGAGTTGTAGTGGTGACTGGATTTCCCACCCCAGTCCAAATCTCAGGGGGAACGCTTTAAATATTTCATCATTAAAGTCGGTTTTTTTTTTTTTTATAGCTACTCTTTAACAGAACAAGAAAAGTTCCCTTCTATTCCTGGGACATGATCTGAATAATTCTAATCCTTTAAAATGTGTTGAAACTTATGGCTCAGCCATATGATCAATTCTCGTAATGCTCCATATGCACTGGAAAGTAATGTGTATTCTGTCATTACTGGGCATGATGTTCTGAACGTGCCAAGCACACCAAGTTGCTAACCACGGTACTCAGACTCTTTGCTGAGTGTTGTTGTTTGCCTGTTCCCCCATTTAGCCTGGGAGGTGAGTTAAAATTGCCTGCTGAGGCTGCCAAAGTTTCTGTTCTTCATTTGAAGGTTGTCAGCTTTCTGCTATGAAGTTACTGAGTTCATGTGAAATTTTAGATTGCATTTCTGGTGAGCACACCCTTCCATCACTATGGGATGTATCTTTAGCTATCCTTATTTTCTTAGTGCCTGTTTTATTGAAGGACAGTTCTGTTAGGGTCCACGGTGTCAGGAAAGGCGTAGTTGGCTCAAATGCTGTGCGTTCCATGAAGGAACCTGCTCTGAATAGACTCCCAGGAAGCAACTGCTGAGCCCATGGCATCCTGTCCCCTCCAATGTGTCGCATGGCTAAGGCTTTTGGCCACGCTATAGCTTCTAAATGTTCCCCTCAAAACGCACTGAAATCCTAACCTAGTGCCCTGGAATGTGACACTGAGGAGGTGAATAAGGTAAAGATGAGGTCAGTATGGTGGGCACTAATTCAGCAGGCATATTTGGAAGAAAGAGAAATTTGGACAGAGGCATGCAGAGGGAGACCCTCTGGGGAAGACATGGGAAGGCACTTCTCCTGTGCCAAGGAGAGGCCCCAGAGAAACCAGCCCTTCCCACATGTCTGAGACTTCCAGACACCAAGACCAAGAGAAAGCCCTCCTCTGTTTTTTAATATGCTTGGTCTTTACGAAAGACCTGGCACACAAATACGATCAGACTATGGATAAGGAATGTGATTTACAGGGATGGTCTCTGTACCAAGAGGCCACGTATCTAACCCCTTAGCAGCTTGTGGGATATATTTTCCTTCCTTTTACCTTCAACATCTTTATTAAGATGCATCTTTATTAAGACTCTATGTAGTTTTTTGTTTTTCCTTTAAACTACCATGGTCTTTTACATGGATAATTTAGTCTGCTTATATTTAATATAATCCCTGATATGCTTTATTTTCTACCCACTATGTATTTTTTTCTATTTATATCAGCTATATTTTATATTATTTTTCCTCTTTATTGCTTATATTCAATTAAATAATTTTTGTTTTTTATTCTCCTCCACATTAGCCTTTGGTTACATGTTTCTTCCTAGTGTTTATTGTTTATAATTCCCATGCTTGTACTGCCGGTGTAGCGGCTGCTCCAGAAACAAAGGCCTGAGAAAGCTCCATGTACACTTTTCTAACTTTTCCCCAAAAAACTTATCTTCATTTTTGAAAAATATTCCCACTACAGAATTCTAAGAACTTCTAGGTTGGCAGTTATTTTCCCAACATTCTGAAAATGTTATTGCCCTCTGAGGCGTCTTGAAAAGCCTGCTCAGGCTCTTTTAAAGGCTGTGTGTCCTGCATGGCTTCATCGGCTCCCTCCGGTTGTGGACTGTGGTATTCTGTTGCCTCTAAAATGATCATAATCTAACATTGCTTCTTGGCTATCATTTTTCTTGTACCTTTCTGAGATGACTGTGTCTCTTTTAGAGATTTCCAGTAGGTCCTACACATGTCTTATCTAAAACTTTGTACCCAGTCTTGATGTCATCTACGCTCCTATTCTCTGCTTCTCCAAGTCCTGCTGGTTCATTTCCATTAATCCTCTCTCCTGTTTCACCGGCACCTAAATCCATCTATTCTAAGTATCAACTGTATTTTCACACACACTACATGTGTGTGTGCATGTACATACACACACTATATTATGTATATATGTATGTATTATGTGCTATGCATATGTATACACACATGTACATATATTACTGACAGAGGTTGCTCTAAGGGGCAGCTATAGAGTGAGAAAACCGTGGCCCTTGTGAGTTTCATTGTGCAATGTCATTGGTCAGGCCTGCTCCTAAGGTGTTGCTCTCCACCGAACCAACGAAGATCCTGAACTCCATTTTTCTCTCATCAGAACCAGGGGATCACTGAAAACTCCACTCTGCTTTTCACCAACTTTCTTATTAGTTTTAGCCTCTCACCATGTGGATTTTATACACAGGCAAACCCCTTGGGTCCTGGCTGGCTTGTCAGCCTTAGAGTTAAACTTCTCTCCTGCCTCATGAAATCCCTGGAAGTTCCTCCAGCTTCTTAACCTAGCAGTACTGGCCCCATACTTGAATTCCTAGAATGTTTTTTTTTCTTTTTTGGCTTTATTATGATTCTCTTTTTTGATAGTATAATAACACTATTCCCTCCTTCTTATTCTTCCTCCAAGCCCTCCCATGTCCTCCCTCCCTTGTGCTCTCTCCATTCATGGCTTCTGTGTGTGTGTGTGTGTTCCTAAATATGCAAATTAAAAACTGCTTACCCCATATAATGTCGCTTGTATGTGATAGCCAGTTGGTGTGGCCTTCCCGGAGGAAGACTATTTCTCTGCTCTCCGCATTCCTTAGTCGTCTGTAGCCTTTGTGTAGGATCACGTCCTCCTGAACTTTATTATGGTTCACATTCATTTCTGTCTCATAAATAAAAACTCCCAGGGGCTAAACAGAGTGCTTACCTCACACTGCCCAGTTTCTCTTCTTTGGAAATGTGGCTCTAAGTTCTGGTTGTCTGCAGCTGCCCAGTTCATTCAAATAACTTTTTAGCCTGGATTTTCTGGCTATTCTCAATGTTCTCCTCTGGGAATGTTACTTTAACCAAGCCTTATTTGTGTGTGTGTGTGTGTGTGTGTGTGTGTGTGTGTGTGTGTGTGTACACTACACGTGTGAAGTGCCTGTGGAGTCCAGAAAAGTGTGTCAGATCCCCTGATGATGGAGATACGGGCAGTTGTGAGCCACCAGATGTGGGTGCTAAGAATGGAATTTGGGTCCTCTGTATAGACCAGGTTATCCCCAAACTCATAAAGATTTACCTGCCTTTGCTTCCTGAGTTCTGGGATTAAAGGTGTGTGGCAGGAAATGTACTTTAAAAAAAAGAATTATTATTTTTATGTGTCTGGGTGTTCTGCTGTATGTCTGCGCACCGTGCACATGCCTGGTAGTGGTAGAGGCCAGAAGACAGCATGGATCCCTGGAACACGGTTATGAGAGACCACGTGAGTGCTGGGAACCAAACCAGGATCCTCTGCAAGAGTAGTGAGGGAAAAAAAAAAAAGAGTAGTGAGGGTTCTTAACCACTGAGCCATCTCTCCGGGTGATGCCAAATAGTATATTTCTAGACAGAACAAAGATGATCACGTGAAAATGGCTGCCCTTATTGAACACTCATTGACCAGACTTGTGCTAAGTGCTGATGTGAAATTATGCCATTGGATCTTGACAACAGCCTCACAGGCTGAGTGCTACACCTGTTCTCACTGCACAGAGGTCAAACAGCAGACTCAGAGAAACAACTCACTTGTCTAGGCAGTCTGTCTCTCTCCTGGAATCAGTATCACACACTGTTTGTTTGCATTTTATTTCCTTTGAGACCGTGCCTCCCTGTGTAGCCTATGCTGGCTGAGAACTCTCTGTCATTCTTCTTCCTCAGACTCCTGAGTTCTGGAGTTACAGGTGTGTGCCACCATGCCCAGACACTTCTAACATTTTAATACTGGTGATAAAGTACGTATATAACATAAAACTTCAATTTTAATCCAAGTGTACAATTCAAGTGGCATTAAGTACTTCCACCAGGTATGCAACCATCACTCATGTATTTCCAAAACTATTCATTATCCCACACAGAACTCTTTAGCCAAGTATCGCTTTAATCTACCTTATTCCTGAATATTGAAATACTCAAGCAAACGAATCCTACCTTACTCTCCCTTCCTATCTGATGGGCTTCTCTGAGCATGTCTGCAAGGTTACCCATGGCAGAACTCATGCCAGACCATAACCTAAACCACCACCTCCTTCTCCCTGCATCTCTACAGGAGACTGGCTTCAAATTCCCCATGCAGCTAAAAACGACCTTAAATGTCTGATCCCATCTCCAGGGCTCAGGTCACAGGCATACACCACTATTGCCTGGTTTTATTTGGTGCTGACGATCAGACTCAAGACTTTGTGCATGCTAGGCAAGCACTGTAGCAAAGGAGCGTACCCTCAGCCTGCAAACTGTTTGTTGTGGCCATTACATAGATGTACCACAATGTGTGCATCCCTTTAGCGGCTGCTGGACCCTGGGGGTTCTCTCTTCTTTGGGTGACCGGGAATACTGCTACACTGACCACACGTATCCATGTGAGAGGTTCCAATTCTTTGGGGTCTGTACCCAGAAGGGAACTCATTGGGCAAATGACACTTCTGTTTAACGTGAGGAAGTGTCAAAGTTTCCCACAGCAGCTGCACCATTTTCCACCTCTCCCAGAGTGAATGGAGGAAGGCCTTCACTTCTCTACAGTCTCGGCCACACCTCCGATTTCCTCTTGAGAGTTTAGACATTTGAGTGTGTGTGAAGTATAGACTTTTGCCCAGTTTTCATTAGTTTTGTGTTGAGTAGGAGAGGTTCTTTCTACAATTGTGGTGGAATATTATTTTTAAATGTGTTACATTTGTTTATGCTGTGGAACATTTGTTTAATGATGCAAAGACGCATTGTACTCTTTTATGTTGCATTTGTTTAATTCTGTGAAGCTGTGTTACTGTGCCTGTCTAAATCACCTGATTGGTCTAATAAAGAGCTGAACAGCCAATAGCAAGGCAGGGGAAAGGATAGGCAGGGCTGGCATGCAGAAACTAAATGGAAGGAGAAAAAGATCAAGGTACAAGGAAAAGAGGAGGGCTCAAGGGGCCAGCCAGCCACACAGCTAGCCACAGAGTAAGGAGTAAAGAAAGGTATACAGAAATAAAGATAAAATCCCAGAGATAAAAGGTAGGTGGAATAATTTAAGAAAAGCTGGCTAGAAATAAGCCAAGCTAAATTCAGGTATTCTTAATAATAAGACTCCATGTGTGATTTATTTGGGAGTGAGGTGGCAGGTCCCCCAAAAGATGCAAAGAGTCAAACAACCAACTACATACTTTTTTTTTTTTTGGTTTCTCGAGACAGGGTTTCTCTGTAGCTTTAGAGCCTGTCCTGGAACTAGCTCTGTAGACCAGGCTGGCCTGGAACTCCCAGAGATCTGCCTGCCTCTGCCTCAGGAGTGCTGGGATTAAAGGCATGCGCCACCACCGCCCGGCTACAATTTTTTTTTTTGAGACAGAGTCTATTATGTAACTTTGGCTGTCCTGAAACTCAGTATGTGAACCAGACTGACTTCAAACTCAGAGATCACCTGCCTCTGCCTCCTGGGCGCTGGAATTAAAGGTGTGCACCACCACTATCCTTGAACCTTGTGTTCCTACATTCTTGACCTTGGACATGTCTTAGACGTAGGATCAAAGCATTTTATTCCGTTCTGCAGGTAGAAGTGTAGATTATATTTTATCTGCTTGGTAGTGCATTTTGATGTACTAAAACTCTCAATTTTAATAAAGATCATTAAATCTATGCCATATCAAAGAAGCCACAGCCAAATCCAAACTCATGCTTTCTTCAGAGTTCTGCGGGGTCAGCTCTTGTATTTAGGGCTTGGTATATTTGGGGTTAATTTCTCTTTGGGGTGTGAGGTAGAGGTTCAACTTTATCCTATGAAATAGGTAAATCTGAAGAGGCAGCATTAGTGAGTAGCTTGACTGATCCAGCTTTGTGGGGATGGGGAGTGACTGCCAGTGGATATGGATTCTTCCTGGGGTAAAGAACATAGTCTAAATTTAGTGGCAAGGGCTGCAGAATGCTGTGAATATCCTAAAACACTGGATTGCACACTTTAAACACTGAATTTTATGCTATGTGAATTATACCTCAATAAAGCTGTTATTAAAGGAACAAACAAAAAGAACAGCTGGTGGCCTGGATGAGGGAGGACAGACTGACGCTCCTGCCTCTTGCTTCTAGGAGAGAAAGCATGTTGTACAGAGCCCTTCTGTAGCTGTGGCCAGACCCCCAAAACGCAAGGAATGTGTTCTAGACTCAACAGGCACCCCGGGCTCTTCCTCTTCTACACTGTGGAACCATAGCTCTCTCCCATATGGTCTCACTCCTGCCTCAGGCTTCAATGCTGCTCCTAGCTCTGTAATCCTGGCGAATTAATTCACATGAGGAAAATCATAGCAAAACCACAAGCAGTTGTCTCTCCTCTTGGGAGCAGTTGGTCTGAGGAAAGGGCGGGAACACTGGCAGCCCAGGGAATCCTGGCAACAGGTCAAGGTGAGACACAGTCCATGCCCAGAACTGGTTTCGGCCCATCTACCGCCTCGTGCTTTTCCATTTGACTTTGTGAGTAGGTTTAATGTGGAGGTGCCAGGCACACCTCGCTTACAATAACCACATGGAGAGGTGGTCTTCCCTTACATCTCCCACCTCCCAAAGGAGACAGTCTCATTCCTCGGGGACAGAAGAGCTGGTAAGGAGTAGAGTGACTCCAGTTTGGGCTTCCATAGTCAGCTGGTATTCATTTGCTGACTAGCCCACCGTAGGTTACTACTGGGATTTTAACAGGTAGACTGGCTGGTTCAGTTGACTGGCTGGTTGAAGCTTTCCTGTAGATGGTAGGAGTTGGAAGTGTGTTGGGATCCAAAATTATCTCTTTGTAGAGCATAGCCTTGCTTTCTGACACCTGAATCCACAGGAACTACCAGAGTTTGGTCCTTGGAGGATGGAGGGTGAGCAAGGGGTTCAGTGTCCTAACGGCATCCTGATAGCCTTCCTAGACAGACGACCATGGGTCTCCAAGGGTTGAATAAACCTGGCGATGGCACTGCTGAATAGATCCTGTATGACACAGCCTGGGAAGTTCAGAGCCCTTCCAAGGCCCCAAGCTCCCTGGATTCTTGCCCCCCACCACAGAAGTGAGGGCACTACCCAAGGTCTGAGAGGCCATGAAGAGCCTCTAAAATGTGGCTGGCTTCTCTGGCTGGCAATGCCACTCCTGGTGAGCCCCGAGACCCCAAGTGGCCTGGTTGGCCCTTTGGCCTTCACACAGCCATCTGCAGCCCTTCACTGGGTCTAGCTAAAGTCTTGATTTCATGATATGCCTGTGAGCACCTAACCCTTCCTGGGTCCCTCACACAGCTCCCCACCCATTCTTCCTGTCCCCTTGTCTAGATCTTCAGTTAGAGAGGCCATGCATCCTCCTTCCACACCTCGACAGGTTACCTCAAGGGTTAGACACTGCGGAAGGAAGTGGAGGGACAAGGGCACTTTCCCTCAAAGTCCTCATCCCTGCTGTCTAGAGCTGCCTGATGCTCCTTCCTCTGCTAAGGTCCATGCGCTCTTAGGGGGGTCATCACGGTGTCGCCCTGCCCACACCCCACCCTGATCAGTTCCTTGTGTGCTGTGTGTCTTTGTAAACCCTCTGAGGCACAGCCTCCACCCTTCCCAGTCAAAGGCAGCTCTGCTGGACCAGGACTAGTGCTTTCCCAAGCCACGTCTCCCTCTCTGGACTTCAGTGGGATCAGTCAGTCTGTCTGGCATTAGGGGTGGAAGAGCTGACAATAACCAGGCTATACCCCATAAAAGCAACAGCCAAATGCCTGCCTTCTTGCGCCTCCTCCAGGGGCCCAGAGCTAGCAGGCGGAGAGTCTGATTCCCGGGAAAAGCTGTTCAGCCAAACTTAGCACAGAATAGCAATTCAGGAGCTGAACTCTACCTAGCAACAAGATTAGCAGCTGATTTTGCAAGCTGGTATTTTTATCCTAGGATGGGAACGGCTGAGAGTGGCCACCTCCTGCTCCTCTGAGCGCTGCTCCCTCCTGTTCCACCCAGGGACCTTGCTCCCTACAAATCCCTCCTGGCCCCATGCCCAGCTCTCTCTTCCCTTCTTGCTGTGGCAGTTTCTGACCCACGGAGGCTTGGGTGGGGCCTCAGAGCTTCCAGAGGGAAGTATCTACCCTGGGTCCAAGGCTCAGAGGCCCAAGTTGGCCTTTCCTCCTCTCCCACTGTCTGGCCTTCCTTTTTCCTGTCCTCCTCTCCCCCATCCCCAGCGGTGTACATTCCATGCTGTCCCCAAAGCCCCTGGCACTCTGCTGTCTACCAGACAGGCTTCTCTGTGGGAATGGGGTTCCTTCTTCCCATGGGGCACACAGTGAGCGCCCAGTGTCTGATCCGTGACCTCTGCTTGTACACCCCGCCTGCTCTCTCAACAGCCTTCACAATGACAGGATCCTTTGGCAGCCTGAAGTCCAGGAGCTTTCTGTATGAACAGCCACCCACCACTACCCTCTTTGGAGAGGAAAAAAAAATACCATGATGTGATGGTGAAATATGGCAGAATAGGACTTCCCGTGTGAGAACAAGATAGTGGAGACTCACTTCCCCAGGTCCTCTCTCCCTTGATGTCATCCAACACACACAAAGAACCCCGAGGGCTGCAGAGAGGGCAGCAAACTGTCTTGAGAGCTCCACTGTGGCTTGAGAGCGCAGATCCTGGTGGCTGTCTTAGTTCCCATAGGCTCAGGCCAGACACAGAGGACCCTGTGTACAAAATTTCTGCAGGGATAGACAGAGAAGAAGCAAGCCACACTGAAACCTGCATCTTGTCACAGGACTGGAAAAGAGAACCCACCAGAGCTAGAGACAATACAACCATTTCTCCACCAAGTGCCACAAGAGCTCAGGCCTAGTGGGAGGACCATCTCTGCTAGCAAGCATCCCACCCCAACAGCAATACAAGGTCTCTGAGACTTTTATGACAAGGACCTCCCACAAGTAGTCCGCATGCTCGCTTAGGTTATACCTAAAAAGGACAGCTACCTGCTAAAATAAGAGACAGCAATGAGAGAGTCCCCCAACAAAATCCTCACCGCTCATGATATAATCTAAGATCACTCACAATACCAGCAACCAGGAAAGCCACAACTTAAGAGAAGCAATCAACTGATGTCCATGCTTGGAGAATCCGACACTAGAACTGTCTTACAGAGTTGAAATCGGCTATCATTAAAATGTTCTGGCAAATAATTATGGATTATTTTGAATTAAGTGTAGAAACAGAAAATCTCAGCAAACCATTTGATACATGCATTGATTGATTTGTTTATTTGTTGTTGTTTGGAGACATGGTCTTTCTATGTAGCCTCGTCTGTCCTGGAACTCACTATGTAGACCAAGATGGTCTCAAGCTCACAGAGATCCTCCTGCCTCTGCCTCCCAAATGTTGGGATTAAAGGTGTTAAAATACCACACTAAGCTTTTGTAAGTTTTTGAAAGATTTGTCATTTTAATAATTTGATATGTATATCTGTGTGTGTGTGGTATTTGCATGCATGTGATGGTGTGATCTAGGAAGCTAGATCCCCTGGAGCTGAAGTTACCGGCAGTTGTTAGCCAGCCATGCTGAGAGCAGAACTTGGGTCCTCGGGAAGAACAGAACCTGCTCTGAACTGCTGAGCCAGCTCTGCAGTCCCCCTGCTTATGCTTTATGAAAAGAACCAAGGGGAAATTATAAAACTGAAAAATATGGTCCTTGGGTGCCAAGCCTTGCTGCGTGGACTCACGAGTACACTGTGATGACAACAGGGTCGAGAGCCCTCAGACAGGTGAGTGGGGTTTACTCATCAACAGCAGAGCGCACAGGCCAGGAAAAGAGAGGCACAGACCTCAGGAGTGTATGGGGGAAAGCAGACAATCTACTTCTTATCATGGTGTTCATTAAGGGGAAAGAATATAGAAAAAATCCAAACTGGGCACGGTGGTGCACGCCTTTAATCCCAGCACTCGGGAGGCAAAGGCAGGCGGATCTCTGTGAGTGCAAGGCCCGTCGGGTCTACAGCCTGAGTTCCAGGACAGCCAAGCCTATACAGAGAAATCCTGTCTCGAAAAACAAAACAAAATGATCCAAAACGTAATGTTTGAAAACACTTCAATTTTCACAAATGACTCAAACCCACAATTTTAAGAAGTGAATCAAATGCCAAACAATACAAACCCAAATCAATTCACTGCACATCACAAAACTTCTAAAGACCCAAGGAAAGGGGAAAGTTCAGCAGCTCAAGAGAAGCCAGCATGTTAGCACAGAGCACACTGGTCTACGCAGCAGCAAATCTCCCCGGAACCCAGTGCAATCAGAAGTAAGCAGACTGTGTCTCAAGTGTTGGAAAGAAAGAGTCCATATCCAGCCAAACCACACTTGAGGAGTATGGAGAAAACACTCCCCAGATGAAGAAGAAAGAGGAGAACTGGCTGGTAGCAGCTTAACCTGGGGATAACCGTCCCCAGACAAGCAGGGGGTATCAGGAAAGAAAGGCAGTGGGAGAACACTAGGATTGAGGGATGGCTTCGCAGTCAAGAGTACCTGCTGCTGTCTCCAAGGATCCAAGTGGGATTCCCAGCTCCCAAGTGTCCAGAACTCCAGTTCCAGGGGATCTGATGGCATCATCCAGCTCCGTTAGTGCTGCATACTTGTGCTCTCACACATACATAAATAAGACGTATTTTTTAATGTAAAGAAGGTAAGAAAAAACAAACTGTCCACTCGTGGGTTTCTCTAATCACTTTCAATAGCTAAAACAAAATTGCAATACCACCTGATGTGGTTCCTCGGTGTTAAAGGAATCCTTCAACAATTACATTCTTAAATCTGAGAGGTAAAAGGAGCGCTAACGGAATTAAGGTTTAGACACTTAGTAGAAATGAGGAGTCACAGCTGCATATGGTAGGCCAAAGCAACCCCTAAAACAACTATAAAAAGCAACGCACTGAAACAGTACAAAAACCGAACGGAATCACGACAGCAGTTCAACACATCTGCGGGAAAGTCAGAAAAAAAAGAAAACAGGAATAATGGCATAAGGGGCCATGTGGTGATATTTTGTTTGTGCTCTAACAAATAAATCTTGCCTGAAGATCAGAGAGCTGAGGTAGCCACTAGTTAACCATAGAGATCTGGAGGTCTGTACAGACAGACAAGAAGTAATATGGCTGGGTGGAGCGAGGAATATAAGGTGGGAGGAGACAAGAGCTTGGCCCTTTTCCACTGAGCAGTTAGCAAGGTGAAAGAGTTGGCTGTGGCTTGCTCCTTTGTCTGAGTTTTCAGCATTTACCCTAATATCTGGCTCCAGGTTTTTATTGTTAAGACCAATTAGAATTCGTGCAACAATTGGCACCTAACTTTAAGGCACAAACTCATGAAAAAGTTGCTAGCCTGTAGTTTTGTAGCCACTGGCACATGCCGAAGCTGCACATGGTGGCTCCCACCGGAGTCACCCCACCCGCTAGGTTTTCTTTTCTTTTTTTCTCCTCAGCCTCTGAGCAAGTTTGGGATTTTCCTGTTGCAGCAGCTCTACACAGTCTCCAGCTACCATAGAGCTTACCCACCCTAGTCTGACTTGGCTCTGGCTTCCGGTAGCTCTGGCCACACGTACTTCTTCTGCACAATCCCATGTGCATTTTTCAGACAGCCAGCTCCCTCTCCCGCGTGGGTTGTTGGCTCCACCTAGACCCCCCCCCCTCGGGTTCCACTCTCAGCACATGGCTACAGGCTAGCAGCTGCAGCTGACCTCAGCCAGGCTGTTCACCTCCTGTGTTCTCCGCTCAGACGTGCTACACCTCACATTTCACTATCATCATCAGCAGATTTGGTGAGATAACCAGGAAGTCTTAAAAGGCAGGAATTAGTTAAATGAGAGAGGGTTTTCCACATTAAAAAACATGAAACACTTATAATGGAGAGAGTTAGGTCTCCATGTGATTACACAATGCATGGTTTAAAACTGAACAATTAAATGAAGGGGTAATCAATTTAACTGGGATTGACATACTATTAATTATCATTTTGATAATCTTTATTGTTGGCTTGATAATTCTTGGTTTATCCTTTTAAAAGATGGTTAATATCAATGCCAAGATACAGGCCTTAGAAAACCTAATTAAAACAGATCATAGATATATTCAGACCCAGTCAGAGGGATTTAAAGGGGAACCAATCTCAGCATTGCACTTTGCACTTTAAGGTTAGAGGAAACAGCGTAAGGTTTTTCAAACAGCTAACTTTAATTTATCCAGTAGCCTTACAGGAACAACTGCCAAATGACAGATATCCCCAAGGTTGTGCAAGAGCTGAATGAACCCCTGTGGAAATGTTATATTTAAGGAGATTCAAGGAAGTGATAGTCTCATATGGTATGCATTCACTCTTTGTAAAGCAGATGTTAAATTCATAGTCAATATGTAATAGAAGTATCCCTCAAGACTGGAGAGACTTGGTTACAGCTGTCTTGGAGCCTGATCCTTAATTACAATGGAAGGCCTGGTGGAAAGATGGAGGCTAAGACCATTGGACAACAAAGTAGGGCTAGAAATTTGGAACTCTCCCAAGACCAACTTCTTGGAGAGGGAGACTACACTAATGTACAAAGGCAGTCTCTATATGATGACAACAACTTGGTTTTATGCCATGCAGCAGCTTTGAATGCTTGACAGAATTGAAGAAGTAGAAAAGAAAACTGAGTCAGTTACTAAAGTTATACAGGACCAAAGGAAACCTTCATAGATCTCTTAGAAAGATTGACGTTAGCAGTAATAGAATGACACCAAATTCAGAAGCTAGACAAATAACAACTGAAATGCTGGCTTTTGAAAATGATAACACACAATGTAAAAGGGTAATTGGGCCATTAAAGGCAAGATCAGCACCCTTGGAGGAATGGATCCGAGATACAATCAATATTGAATTTTAGGACCACAATGATGCTTGGATAGGAGAGGTGATTTCCAGAGGTTTGAAAAAAAAATAGAATTGTCAAATGTTTCAAATGCAGTAAACAAGGTCACCTTAAAAAGGGATTGTAAACAGGGCATTCCTAGAAACCATGTTTTCTCTAAATATAATCCAAACAGAATGTCCTTCCCTTCTGGATTATGCAGAAAGTGTGGCAAAAACAGGCATTGGACTATTAAATGTAGAACAATGAGACAGTCAATGTAACCCTCTGCCATTGGGAAACGCCTCTCAAATTCGGTTCAGTCATCAGGGAGGAAACACCTTCCCAGAGCAATCAAAGAACCTAATGCCTACTGTAAGAAAACATACTGCTCTGGGCAATAGAAAAGAGAACAAAAATATAGAAGAGAGAAGAAAAAAATTCAAGAGAAACTGTGAAGCAAATATTTTGGCAAACTTCTATAAATGAACAAAGACCAAAATTAAAAATACAAATAAGGGACATCACTGAAGGTCTTGTAGACACAGGTGCAGATGTAACAATAATTGCATCAGAATCTTGGAATCCAAATTTCCTCTTCAGGATGTAAATGTCTACTTTTTACAGATCTGAACTTTATCTCAGGTAAAATAGAGCACGAGATGGGTCAAATGTATAGGGACAGAGGACAAAGAGGAAATTTAAAGCCATAGGTGGCTAACACAGCAATGAATTTCTAGGGAATGTGATTTGTTACAGCAATGGAATATTCAAATTAACATTCCCCCAATATTAGAAACAAACCACAAATTAATGCATGTTTCTGAGGAAAATATTAGAAGATATTTCAAAGAACAGTCACTGACTATTCAGGTTGTACAAGAACAGAGTACAATGGGGGGGAATGCTAAATAGCATACCCTGTGCCATTATTATGAACAACAACCATTGGAAATAATACATAAGCCATTTCTTCAATCTATAGTTTACCATTATATGAATGATATTTTACTAGATAACTCAAATGTAGATACATTAGGAACAATGTTTGAAGTAAAGAAAATTTTGCCTTGTTGGGCATTACAAATTGCTCCTGAAAAATACAAAGAGGAGATTCTATTAATTATTTAAGATATAAAATAGGTCTACAAAAATTTAGATCCCAAAAGGTGCAAATTAGGAGAGACTGATTGCAGACTCTTAATGACTTCCAAAGATTGCTAGGAGACATTTCCTATCTATGGTCCATTATTGGGGTAAAAAATGGTGAACTGAGTATTTGGTTCAAACCCTTAGATGGTGACAAGGACTTAACTAGTCCAAGAGAACTATCAGCTGAAGCTGAGAGAGAATTGACTTTGGTGGAGAAGAAGTATCAAGATGAACATGTGAATTATTTGGATCTAGAGTTTGATTGCATTCTGGTTATTTTACCCTCTATGTATTCTCCTACAGGAATATTAATGCAGAGAGAAGATATTATCATAGAAGCAATCTTTTTACCACATAAGCAGTAAAAAAATAAAGAACTTAAGTGGATACCTATTCAGGTTTCAATGGGCAACTACTTTGAGTTGGGAAAAGGCTGATTTGGTAATTGCACGTTTCCTAGAACAAAAACTATGAATACCATCTAAATTGACAAAGGTTAGATTTGAACAAGGGAGACCTCTTAATTAGAAGAGATGTAGTTCATCAAACAACATGGCCATTCAATCTGAACTAACCTATAAAACTAACAAATGCTTTTCATTTGATCATATGTAACTAGCCAAAAGGAGACCTCCCCAAAGTTAGGGTTGGAGCCAGGTTTTCTTTTTGACTTTTCAGGAGAATAAAGGCATCCAGCTAAGGAATCCGAAGACCATTGGACAAATGAGACATCTGAAGAAAAGGACAAATCATCCAGAAAAAAAAATCCCAAGAAAAAAATTGGCCTATTAGTATATCACATCTCCAACAGGATAAAATTTCATAAATCTACCCAAATATTTGTTTCTGCTTTTCTCTATAGACATAATACAAATGTTCTTTTTGTAGTCCCAGTCCAGTTAAAAATTAAAACTGGCTTTGGAGTTGGAGTGTGGTTCTCTCATTCTCTAAACCCACACATGCTGGTTAAAGTAAAATCCAAAATCTCTGTCTCATGTTAGAAGAGTCACCTGATATGGAAAAGAAGAAAAATCAAAATTAAGGGATTATTTTATTGTCACTAATCTAATAATCCTTTGGGGTTTTATTGAATCTTTGAAGCTTTTCTTAAGGTGTAAATATCTCAAAACTTATAGGATTGATATATATGTTTTATATATATTATATATATAATCTTTTTCATGATATTAATAGTCATACAGAGCACTACCTAACTCTAGAATAAGGCTTCATCTAACTTCCTTCACATGATTTTAGGTTTGAGGGAACAGAATTTCTTCAGGTAAATTGGAATTATGTTTTTGTACTATGGATGTACATAAAAAATAGTAATCTTTTAACCTCTTTAAGATCTGCTGCATATGACATTCAAAATGTTCAAGTTTTAATGTTTAAGTATTCTGTGGTGGTGAACCATGACCACGCCTAAAAGTAACCTGTGAAGTCTCCATGCCTAAAACACAACCTTCTACATGACTTTTTGTATATATATATTTGTTCTAAATTCTAAAATTTATATAGAAAGAGCTTACAATAAGCAAAAGAGACATGAAGAAAAGGTTCATGTCAGGGT